TGCCTGTGGCTCAAGTGGCTAAGGCGCCAGCCACATACACCTAAGGTGGTGGGTTCAAATCCAGCCTGGGCTCACCAAACAACAATGACGGCTGCAACCAAAAAATAGCTGGACATTGTGGTGGGCGCCCGTGGTCCCAGCTACTCAGGAGGCTGAGGCAGGAGACTCGCTTGAGCCCAGGAATTGGAGGTTGCTATGAGCTGTGATGTCACAGCACTCTACCCAGGGGGACAGCTTGAGGCTCTGTCTCCAAAAAAATAAAATAAAATCAACATAATTTAAGTGTACCGTAGAGGTATAACTATAGGTTCAACTGTGCTGTGAGATAAAAAAGGTTGAAAAACACTGTATTCTAACAATTTCTCTGTCTCTATCCCCACCTCAACTCTCCATTTAAAACCCTCTATATTCAAGCCATTAGAGATGGGAATCTTAAATACGTAGAACATGTGGCATCCCCAAGTAAATCCTTGCTCTCTTTTCCATTGTTCCTACTCACCATACATTCTTTTTTTTTTTTTATTAAATCATTGCTGTGTATATTAATGCAGTCATGGGGTACAATGTGCTGGTTTTATATACAATTTGAAATATTTTCATCAAACTGCTTAACATAGCCTTCATGGCATTTTCTTAGTTGTTGTGTTAAGACATTTACATTCTACATTTAGTAAGTTTCACATGTACCCTTGTAAGATGCACCATAGGTGTGGTCCCACCAACAACCCTCCCTCCACCCATCCTCCGCCCTCCCCTTCCCTCCCTTTCCCCTTTCCCCATATTCTTAGGCTATAATTGGGTTATAGCTTTCATATGAAAGCATTCTATCCACATGGACAGTTCTTACGGCAGCAGGTTCCTTTCTACCACAGGGCCTTGAAACGAGCCATTTACTCTTACTCAATCTTTTCTTTCCTTCCTTTGCCAACGTAGCTCTTACTCAACTCTTACCCATCAGGATAACCTTTACCTCCTCAAGGTAATACCACACTGTCACATACACATACTCTTCCTCTTATTTATACACAATTGGAAAAGGACATCTAATGTTTATGTGACTATTTATTCAATGTTTGTGTCCTCCACTGGATTATATATAAGCTTATGAGAGCAAGAGTCATATTTGCTTTTATTCACCATTATGTCCCTCAGCATCTAGCCCACTTATAAAAGGTACTCCATAAATAAGTGTCAAATGAATAAGAGTTATCTACCAAAGCAAATCCATCAAAATAAATATTTGCATTCTAAACAAGAGTAAATTTTTGAAACAATGTATATTTTTATATATTTCTAATAAGGAATGGAAGCCATTAAAGAGAGAAAAGGTTCGTTTTTAACAATTCATCAAATTAATGGAGAAGAAGCATAACATTAATTAAAATTCAGTAATAAACCAAAACTTCCCCTTAATAATTTTTCTAGCCTTCAACTTCTGGAAGTCCTAAGAGAAAGCTGAAAGTGCCCTAAATGCTCTTAATAACATATCATCACCTCTTTATTCTCCTTCCTGAACAGTTTTAAACCAAATATCTAAAAGAAAAGTGGAGAAATTAAAAGATAAAAGTTTTTAAAAATTCTGGTTATAACTGTATCATCTTATATTCTATGCCTTATACAATAATATATATTTCATCAATTCTAAGATGCATATTTTCACACTGACATCTCTGAAATCCATTGCTATAAGAAACCATATAGTATCCAACTTAACTGGCTTTTTTTCCCTTTCTTAACAACGGTATCTTTAGCCTGAATGGAATACAGTAAAGTATGTATGCTCCTTACATTTTCTCCCCCAAAGGTTAGAAAAACATAGCAGATGATTACGTAAGAAACAATAAAACCAAAGACTTTTTTTGTAGAGACAGAGTTTCACTTTATTGCCCTCGGTACAGTGCCAAGGCATCACACAGCTCACAGCAACCTCCAACTACTGGGCCCAGGCAATTCTCTTGCCTCAGCCTCCCGAGTAGCTGAGACTACAGGCGCCTGCCACAATGCCTGGCTATTTTTTTGTTGCAGTTTGGCCAGGGCCAGGTTTGAACCCTCTGCCCTTGGTATATGGGGCCAGGGCCCTACTTGCTGAGCCACAGGGACCACTCAACCAAAGACACTTTTATTACTAACATTTATTAGTGGTTTCAGGACACTAATCCTGAAATGCTAAAGTGCTCCAACTCTGAATATTCCCAGTCAAACACAAAGCATCCCTCCCTAACTACACAACCTCCTTATACCCAGCATACCTGCTCTAAAGCCTCATCAGGAAATCGGATCTATGAGCTTTTCATTTTTCAATCCTCTCCTATTTTTGTCCCTACTCTATATTATGCTCTTTTTCACTCATTAGCTCATTAACACTCAAATCTTAAGCTCTCCTACCCCCCATCCTTCTTCCACATTTACCCTATCAATTCTATTTTCTGATAAAAACTATCCAGATGTCCTAGGTACAAAAAAGTCAAAACATTGTCCCAATCTGAATTCATCATCTCTTTCTCAACACTTGCTGCTCTTTCTGTATTTAACAAGTCAGTGAATGGCATCATGATTCATTCAACTGACCCAGTCCAGAAACCCAGAAGTCTACTTGATAATTCCCTCTCTTTGAAACCCTCACATTAATCACAAAAACCTGTGAAAAGACAAACTGTCAGGAAAACCCAGAGGTTCTTGCCAATGCCCAGGCTTTAGGTTAACATTTCTCTACATAACAGAACTCCAACCCCCCACACAACCTCTTTCTTTGCCTACACTACAAACACCCCAGAAGGTCTCTCCATACCTTCACTCAAGATGAAGTCACCTAGATCAATGATTCTCAAATTACCTGTGGTGGGTTTTTTTTTTCGAGACAGAGCCTCAAGCTGTCCCCCTGGGTAGAGTGCCCTGGCATCACAGCTCACAGCAACCTCCAACTCCTGGGCGCAAGAGAGTCTCCTGCCTCCGCCTCCCAAGTAGCTGGGACCACAGGTGCCCACCACAACACCTGGCTATTTTTTGGTTGCAGCCGTCATTGTTGTTTTGGCGGCCCAGGCTGGATTCTAACCCGCACCTTAGGTGTATGTGGCTGGCGCCTTAGCCACTTGAGCCACAGGCGCTGAGCCCTGTGGGGGGGTTTTATAAGCTACAATAAAAAGGAATTACTAGGCAAATGAATTTTTTAAAAAGACAAAAAATACTATCACAACTTTTTTACTATTTAGTTCATATTAGTCAATCAAATTGTTATAAAATTTTCTAAATGCTCACTATCAATTGCTATAGTTATCTAGTTGAAAACAAATAACAAAAGCCCCTAAGCAGACCACAGCTGGCACCTAGGTCTAACTTTTCCTTATTTGCGTTAATTTGCTCATTATAATACTATTCTATAAAGTACAATCTTGCACTGAGCCTTAACTTAAACCTTCCTAATTTGCAAAGAATTGCTATGTTAATAGCTCATTTTGATAGCCAAAAGAACCCAAACTAACCCACAGTTCTACCTGTTTTCTCTCTACTTTATATTCTTTTCTCCTTAAGAACTAGCTGATGTAGAGAGGACACAGTGGCTCACACCTGTAATGCCAGCTACACAGGAGGCTGAGGTGGGAGAACTGCTTGAGAACAGGAGTTTGAGATTAGCCTGGGCAGGAAAGCAAAATAAATCCATCTCAAAAAAAAAAAGAAGAAGAAAGAAAAAAACATTAGCGAGGCATGGTGGCACACGCCTGTATTTCCACTGAGACAGGAAGATTCCTTGAGCCCAGGAGTTTGAAGGTACAGTGAGCTATGATAGTGCTACTGCATTCCAGTGTGGGCAACACAGAGAAACCCTGTCTCTAAAAAATAAATAAAACTTTTTAAAAACAAAATAAATTTAAAAACTTTGTTTTGGCTCCACTCCCATAGATCAGTGGTTAGGGTGCCAGTCACATACACCGAGGCTGGGGGAGTCGAACAGTGCCCAGGCCTGCTAAACAACAATGACAACTGCAACAAAAAAATAGCCAGACATTGTGGACGCCTGTAATCCCAGCTACTTGGGAGTCTGAGGCAAGAGAATCACTTGAACCCGGGACTATAAGGTTGCTGTGAGCTGTGATGCCAAGGCACTCTACCAAAGGCAACAAAATGAGACTGTCTCAAAAAACAAACAAATAAACAGACAAAAAAAAAACCCCAAACTTTAAAAAAAAATAAAACTAATCTATACTTTATTCCTAATCCTTTCATCTCTGACAGATAACCTGCATGACTTTCTTTCCTATGACATGATTATTATAGAATCCCCTTCTCTACCAATTCTGCCTTCTTAACACATGGAAAAACAAGAATATGGAAAAGTTCTATATATATGTATGTGCATGTGTGTGTGTGTGTGTGTGTATACATATACACTTTTTTTTCTTTAGAGACAGAGAGTCTCACTTTCTCGCCCTCAATAGAATGCCATGGCGTCACAGCTCCCAGCAACCTTCTGCTCTTGGGCTTAGGAGATTCTCTTGCCTCAGCCTCCCGAGCAGCTGTGACTATAGGCACCTGGCACAACAACTGGCTATTTTTTGTTGTTGTTGTTGCAAGTTTTGGCCGGGGCCAGGTTTGAACCCAGCACCTTCGGTATATGGGGCTGGCACCCTACTCACTGAGCCATAGGTGCCACCCAGAAAAGCTCTATATTTTAATTCAAAAAAAAATTTGAAATACCCTTATAATCAACAAAATTTGTCCTAAATAGAAACATTCATCAATGTTTCTCTAATCCAGAAAAGGAGATAAAATTCAATTAGAATATAATAGCAACACAGCATATACTTGCTATGCAATAAACCTTCATGTACAGAGATAATACTAAGTAAGTAACATTAAAGTCACAAATCTACAAACAAACCCACTATTCATCTGGTGAAGCAAAAGCAATCTTCTATCAATCAGTCATTTCTAATTTTATTTCTGCAATAATGGAAAGAAAACACTGATCTTAATGAAATCAATGACTAAACAACTGTACTTACGTGTTAGATGAAAGATTCCATCACAAGCACTAATATGAGATAAAAAAGCGTTTCCCAGGCCCTGCCCATTGTGAGCTCCTTTCACAAGACCAGCAATATCCACTACATTTAGAAAGGCAGGAATTTTACTGAAAAACAAAAGATGGTTTTATTATAAAATACTACTAAGAACCTGTTCATTAATCAAATGAATTTCCCAAACATTTCACATAATTAGTTCCTTTTTTAGAATACCATTTACAACAATGATTTGATAAATTATCATCTCTCACAAAAACAAAAATAAGAAATAACCTTTTTATGTTTCAGAGATAGGGTCTTGCTCTGTCACCAAGCTATAGTGAAATGGTATGCTAATAGCTCACTGCAGCTTCCAACTCCTGGGCTCAAGCGATCCTCCTACCTTTGCCTCCCAAGTAGCTAGGACTACCGGGGCACACCACCAAGTCTAGCTAATTTTTTTTTTCATAGAGACAGCATCTCCCTACGTTGACTGAGCTGGACTTGAACGCCTATTCTCAAGGCAATCCTCTCATCCCAGGCCTTCCAAAGTGTTGGGATTATAGGCAGTAGCTACCATGCCTGGCCTAAGAAATAACTTTTTAATATACGAGAACTTTCTGACCTGGGAAAATGAAGGAGAAAACTAAAGCAGAATAGATGCATTTACTATCTCTGAAATTAAAATTCATATGATTAATTGTACTATAAAGTTCTATTGACACATTTACTGAAGTGATCCTCATAAAATGATGTGCCAGGCACTAGACTAAGTACTTTATATACATTGTCTCAAAACAAACTCTAAAAGTTGGGTGCTATTTATTAAATCCACTTTACAGATAAGGAATCTGTGCTCCATAGAAGTTAAGAAATCTATTGCATACTGGATCAGTCAGATAGTAGTGACAAAATTGGAATTCAAACACATAAAGTTTGGGTTTGCATTTAATCACATATAGGTATAGCAAAAAAATGCACGTAATGATGAAAATCAGTTATCAGCATAAGTAATAACCTAGTTGTTCTAACAGCCATCAAGTTAGACATATGTACAAAATAAACTTCGCTTTGTTAAGCAAAGGCACTGTTAATTTAGGAAAATCAGTGTTATGTAAAAATGAAGATTTAAGCTATGAGCAAATAAAAGCTACTTTGAATATCTTATGACAAAGGTATATGACCTAACTTACCTCCCTGTCAATTTTCAAGAACATTCAATTTTCAGAATGAATGAACTTCACTACCTGATAAAATACAACATCAAAGTTCCACAAAAGACTTCTCTATAATCTACACAGATAATGAGTCCTTTCAAAATAATTGTTCTAAGAATAAGCATTACAGATAGAAATTACATGATCATTGTTATCACCAAATCCACTAAAAACACATAACTGTGGTTAGCAGTTGTTGATGGATATTGTGTGTGTCTTCCCAGCATCCACTTCTCCTTCTCTTAGTACCTATACTGTTTTTCCTTTGAGTCATCATATCTTCTCAGTGTAACTCTAGAAGTCAGGCATGTAGACTGGGCTTGAACTAAGCAGTTTTATCTCATCCTTATGCCAATCAATAATTCTAGGATCTGGCTCAGCGCCTGTGGTTCAAGTGGCTAAGGCGCCAGCCACATACACCTAAGGTGGCAGGTTCAAATCCAGCCCAGGCCTGCCAAACAATAAC